TTATAAGGGTGACACCCGCACCACAATGTTCTGCAAATGAGTTCCATCAACTATCAGACAATAGCAAAGGATATGGGAAAGTGACTCATGAGAGTGGATGCTCAATTAGATTCACATGGCTAACATGATCTTGACACCAAAACTGGCTAAGGACAGCCATAGAGACAGGCTGCATAAACAAAACGGCAAAGTCCATATCTACAATCACCAGCTCACCAATGTGTCAAATGTAATAAGCATTGAGAAATGAAACTGTTGTTCAGAACTGGCAAATTTATTATGCAACTCACCACAGTAAAGAAAAACTTTAGTGAGTTTAAGGTGATCTAACTTTTTAAAATAAAATTCAATGATCAGTAACAATAAAATATATTTTTAAAAAAGTCTCACTATGTAGACCAGGCTGGCCTGGAACTCACAGAAAACTGTCCGCCTCTGCCTAAAGAGTGCTTAGGTTAAAGGCATGTGCTACCATGCCCAGCTCTTCCTAAAACAAACAAACAAAAAATGTAATATCAAAGGTACTGAGACGACCATAAATGATCTAAATGCCTTTTAAAAAATGTGGGATAACATACATGTAGCATTACACTGCGGTATAAATGATTCCACTACAGGTACACGAAACACATAAATCTCAATGAAGATGACAACTCACTCTTGTTAGCAAAAACAAAAAAGTCCCACAAAAACAAACAAAACCTTCAAAAGCATGTAAAACTGAACAATGTTTACACATATCAAAACCTTTTGAATGCAGATAAGGGGGGATTGTTAGCTAACATAGAAGACAAAGAAATTTAAGTTGGGTGGTGGGTTCATAAATACTGTATCATCGTATGTCTAACAGCTGTCAAATGTCTCATATATTCTTGTACGTGAATCAAAACTGTATAAAAGTCTTATTTAAAATATAGCTCCCAGGATGGAGAGACAGAGAGAGGAAGGGCTTAAAGAACGGCAGGCAAAGAATCATGCCATGAAAGTTACCCAAAAATCTACATCTTACCAGGTGTCAAACTCTCCTGTAGGGTGTCAGAACTCTGGGTTCACAGCTCTTTCCTACATTCTTCATAGAATCCAGCCTACTTCTACCTGAACCTCATCTGTGAAATAAAGTTCATGGCCCCTTTCGCCCTGGAGTCCTATCTGTGGGGCAGCAAGGAGGAAAAGCGCGGGCGGAGGGGCTGCCCCTTCCTGGGGTCAACAACTCCAGCAGCTGTGCGGTGCTGTTCAAGGGGAAGCGTGATGGTTAAGTCTGACTTTCAAGCATGGGCTCACAGAACCCAAACGGGAAGGTTCTGAAATGATCCCAGTCAGGGGCCTACCCAGAATCTGCAGGAGCTGAGGGTGTTCCAACACAGGAGGGAAAAGGAGCCACCAGAGCTGTCAAAGGCATTCAGCCTGTGCTAAGGGTGGAGATACAAGTAGGCTCCACGGTGCGGACCAGCTTTCCCTGGGCCAGACAGGAAGAGCAAAGGCTCTTGCTGGGACGTGAGGGACTTGGTCGCTCTTTCTGATGGCATTCTTTAGATCCTTTCACCCTTTAATACTGCCTCTTTTCCTCCTGCCTCAAAGCATAACTTAGTACTACATTCGAGGCTGCCTTCAAAGACCACGTGTCAGAGAAAAAAGTCACCAGATGCTTGGTCTTAAACAACACAACGCAATGATCAAAGAGATCAGGACACATGTCCCTCCACGTCTATCACCAGGACACACCCCCATCAATGCTGCATTCTCACAATGCCTTCCCCAGGTGACTAGGAACAGAGCCAGGATGACGAGAGGGGATCTCCTGATGATCCGGCCTTAACTAGTGGGGTGAACTGCAGTAATGACTGACCTGTTTCCTGTTCCATGGGAAATGTTTCCAAGTAAGAGACCCAAATAAAATCAAGCAGCCTCCCATGGTGATTATAGGTCACTTCCTCACAGTTTTATTACATGCTGAGGGCTAGACTTCCGTGACAGTGGTTCAGCCTGACCTGAGGCTCAGGGCACAGCCTCTGGGGCTTGAACGGAGGACCTGGGAAGGTCGGAGAAGGCACAAAGTACAAGGCTCCAGGCTCTCGGCGTCATCTGTACACATCTGCATGGAGCTTACTGAGTATGTGCAGGGCTCACAGCCATGCGAAGCTTACTCCACGGGGCTTCTGTGCGAGACGCCGACTTGTCATGGTCAGAACCACCGAGCCACAGAGCAAGGACCCAGGAGACTGTTTGAGCATAGTTTCTGGGCGCTATCACCCTAACAAAGACTTACCTCATACCCACTCTCTTGGTCCCCTGTGAGAACTGGGGCATTTAGTTCTTTTCCATCGGGGTGGACATAACGGGGAATCAAAACCAGCCTGAGGGCCAGTTGAGACGGCTTAGGTGGGAAAGGCACTTGCTGCTAAAGCCTGACAGACCGAGTTCAGTCACCAGGTCTCTCATGGTGGGGACAGAAAACTGACTGCTGTACGCTGTCCTCTGACCTCTGCTCTCCAACCCCAGATAGGTAACAAATTCTTGGGACTGGAGATATGGGTCAGTGGTTAAGAACACTGGCTGTTATTCCAGAGGGCCGCAGCTCAGTTCCTAGGACCAACATGGTGGCTTATAGCTGTCCTTAAATCCAGTTCCAGGAGACGACACCCTCTTCCAGCCTCCAGTGGGCATGCAGATAAAACATACACATAAAATAAAATTTTAAAAAATCTTAAAAAAGAAAAGGATGTTGAAATTAAGATTTCGATGTTTCAGGTCCTGGAGCTGTAACTTCCCTCCTAGCTGGGAGTCAGTGCACACAGAAGAGATGAACTCTGTTTGGCAAGCATTGTGCACTGAGCGCTACGAGCCATAACCACGAGGACCACACATCCTGAGCACTCGACGCCCTGGCAAATTTAAAGATAAGCAGGTTTCCAATGTCTAAGGATGGACCAATCTTGGAGGTTATTGAGTAAAAAGTCAACACGGTCGAGTCAATTACACTATTGACAGATGCTCTTACGAGGAGATTTCGCATCATAATTATATGCAAAGGAACCCAGCAAATACAAGCTGTGTAATGATCGGCTAATAAAAGTAACACTTCATCCATGTCGATAACAGTTTCAGACTCAAGACAAACAAACATGGCCTTTGCCACTCAGCAGAGGGGGAGGGAACCCCTGAAAGACAAATATTTTCACTTAAGTTGGGAAGTGATTGGAATTACACGGGAAACCCGTCACACAAAGTAGAGGCAGGCCCCGGCCTGTAGTGGGTGCTAAGTGACTCTCCCAGGAAACACTGGCACACCTGCAGGAACACCCAGAGAGGCACACGCTGCCCTGTGGACTGGCGGGGGACATCCAGGCCTCTGCTCTTCACTGGACTGTGTATTTCTCAACTGTGGCTGAAGTCAGGTTCCAGTGGCAGGTGGCCAAACTTAAAATTTACGATGGATAGAGTGAGCAGAGTGAGATTTGCCTCCCATTGCTGGGTCTTAGGCAATGCAGAGTGTGCACATGCCTCTGCAGCCGTATGCTCCCTCTTCTGAAGTGCCTGACGCTGCCCTACAAAGAGGGCAGACAATGCAAAAAAATGTCCCCAGGCATGCAGAGTACCCCCTAAAAAATAATCATAACCTTTGTGCGCACGTGTGTGTGTGTGTGTGTGTGTGTGTGTACATAATCAGCTTCCTGCTTCCACTGCCAAGCTTCTCCTCCATGATTGTATCCTCTCTAGAGCTATAACAAAATAAAACCTTTCTTCCCTGAGTTACCTTAGGTCATGGTATGTTACGGCAACAACAGAAAAGGAAATAATACAAGGTACATCCAAGTCCCCAATGTATGTGTGCGTGTGCAGGGGACGGGGGTTGGATGCAGCTGAGGTGCTGATCTTTAGCAAGCAAGCAGCTCCCTCACTCTGCCCCTATGTAGAACCTCATTGGTCAGTTGAGAAAGACCTAGTCCCACCGCTGGCCAGCAAGGCACCAAGAAGAGAAAAGAGGACCCAGAGAAACCAGTCATAGGGCTACACACCCAAAGGGCCACAGTGGAAGCTCATGGTGGGGCCATAAAAAAGTGTTCTGAAGGAATTGTATGAACACAGGCAAACCTCCCTTTCTGAATCCTGACAGTGTGAGACCAGATGTTCTGAGCTCCTGTTGCTTTGACTTCCCCTGACTTCCCCGCCATGATGGACAATACCCTTAACTACCAGCCTTTCTCCTTTAAGTTGCTTTTGTCAAGAGTATTTTGTTACAGCAACAGGAAAAAAAAAAAGGCACCATTGAACATATCAGCATCAAGGAGATAGGCAGGGTGGGGTATGTCAGGTGGGGTGATGTGGAGAAAGTTGTGGAAAGAGCTTCTGGTAGCCCAAGCGTCACATTTTAGGGAACAGGTAAGGCAGTGAGTGACTGATAGACGGGCAAGAGAGATGGGGTGATGTCACGCTGCAAGTGGGGATCCTAAGTCAGACGTGGACCCTACCCTGGGGCTGGTGATGGAGATGAGGAAAGAAATGACACAAGGAGGAGTCCATTTAGTCTCCTCTGACCCGACTCTCAATATCAGGGAAACACCTCTGCTATCCATAGACCCCTTACCAAATCACATTCACATGCAATTCTGCATGTTTTACTGCAACCCCCACCCCCATGGAGACATGGATTTTCACAGAAGAGGGAACTGAGGCAGGTCCAGAGAGATGAGACATAATCCCAGGGTCACAGGTAGGAAAGTGACAGAGGTAGATATAAAACCCAATCAACAATTGCTCACCCTTGACTTCTAGCATCCTTTGCCCCCGTTACTTTAAGAAAACCCTATCTTAGATCCCACCTCACTGGAAAAGTCGGATTAACCTGATGGCCCACAGAGATGATGGCATTTGGACTGGGTGTCCTTCCAGTTCCTTTGACTTTGTGGGACATCCAAAACAGGTCCTCTTCACCTTCTGAGGGCCCCAGGATGGTTTTTCCCCTCCTCAGGCAGGCTTCACCCAGCAAGCTCTTCCCTTACCTTATGGCAGCCGTCATCCCAATGGGAGTGATTGGCAATGGACGGACACCAGGAAACAGCCCTCGGCTCAGAACCCTCGCTCCGTTTTGTATCACTCCCGGAGAAACTGGAAAAGCAAAAGAAAGAGACGTCACAGGTGAACTCAACTGGAAAGTTAGCAGTCTTGAGAGAGGCACAGAGAACAAGACAGAAAGATAATGTATAAGCAGAGTCATCAACAGCTTACAAATTATTGATGCTTTTGTTAAAAAAGAATCAATGAGACATGAGTTTAAAAGTAAAAAGGCCTTCGGACCAGAAAGGGAAGGCTCGGTGGTCAAGGATGCCTGCACGGTGAGCAAGGAGACCACAGTATGAATCCCCAGAAGACAGCAAAGAGCTGGGCATGCCTCCAGACCCAGCACTGCAGAGCTGAGAACTCACTGGCCACCAGCACAGTCCAAATAGGAGACCCCCTTCTCAAGGCAGTAAGGTGGACGGCGACAGACAAAGACGCCTAATGGCCCGCTCTGGCTTCCATAGGAGGGTGCACAGGCACACCTGCCTGAATATTCACCTGTGCTACACACACACACACACACACACACACACATACACACACACACACACACACACACACACAGAGAGAGAGAGAGAGAGAGAGAGAGAGAGAGAGAGAACAAAACAAAATTTCCTACACCTACTAGTAAAGTCTCTCATCTTCTCCTAAGACCATTTAGTGTCACCAAGACGGCAGTGGGACTGCAGACAGTCCAACAGTCACATCACCTAATACTTCTCATGTTTGCTATAGTCAAAGGTTGAGAATATCTATTTGTCCTTCTCGAAAACAAACAATCAGACAAACAAAATGCAGCTAAAAATCACGGGACTGAGAATGTCGCTTGGTTGGTAGCATGGCCCTTTTCCGAGGGACTCAGCCCCTCGACATTCTATGCTCACACAGGCATCTCTGCCTTTCTACGAGGTTGCCTGGAGGGATGGGCTCACCTCGAGCCCTGGCTTCTGCGCTATCTATCACGCACTGGCTTCCGGGGCCTGTATCTGTTTCCCCAAACCCTCTCTAGCATTCCCAGAGTCCCCTGCCCCCTCTGCTTTCTTCCACACACTGGACCCTGGAGGTGCCCTTAACAACTTTCCACCAGCAACCACAAGACCTCGTGTGCCATGCCACCCCTCCCCCACACCACACGCATTCACATAAACAGGGAGTCCTGTATACCTGAGCTTTATTCACCTCCTAAACAGTTGCTTCAACTAGCACCAGGTAAGCCTCGAGCTCCTGCTGCACCTACAGACACTGCCTGCCTGTCTGCAGGACCAGGTGAGCTTTGCAGAGTTTCGGTTCCTACCTTAGTTCTTGTGTGATACACAGAAATCCCTGGATGTTTATTCTGTTCTCTAAAACCTATTCTGGACCTCTTCTGCTCCCTGCAATCCTGGCACAGTCCCATACTAAAGAGAGGAGGGTAAATAGCGCCCTTTCAAACAAGCAACAATGAAATACTAGAAAATTATACACTTAAAAATGAAAACCAGTCTAGATGTCAAAATTTAAAGCCCATGTTATTTGCAAACAATAAATACTTTTATGAAACAAATTACTAACACATATGTGTTTCATAATTTTTAGGTTTCTAAGAACATGTTTTCAGGACTGAGAATGTTGTTTGGTTGGTAGCATGCTGGCCTACTATACACAAAGGCCCGGGCTTGATCCCTGGCACCCTAAAAACTGGTGCCGGTGATTCATACCTGTAGCCCCAGCACACAGGAGGTGCAGGCAGGAGGATCAGAAGTCAGGAGTTATCCTTGGCTGAGTGGTAATTTGGGAGGGGGTTTTGAAAGCCCTTGATGAATAGCAAACACTTCTATATATAAAATAATTCTTAAAAAGTATGTGTATTATTATGTGTGTGTGCACGATGTGTGTGTGGGAGTGTATATGCCATGTGTGGAAGTCAGAGGACAAGTTTGTGGAGTCCCTTCTCTCCTTCCACTTTTATGTGGGTCCCGGGGATCGAGCTCGGGTTGCTAGGTTCACACAGCAAACACCGTTACTGGCTGAGCCATCCTGCCTGCCTGAATATAAACTACTTTTATAGACTGTCCATTTCTTGGGCATTCTGAAATTCTTGCTAAAGGTTTTTGACATTGCTCTTCTAGGTTTGTACGAGGTCCTTGTGAGAAGATCTTACAAAAGGCAGGGTGCAGGATAAGATTACTGTTCTTGCCCAAGTACAGCATATCTGGTGTTCAGAACTGTCCCTAGTCTCTTACTGTAACTAATCACAGAGGAGGCACAGTCGGACCCGAAACTCTGCCCATTCCCAATGAGCAGCCTGACTTCAGAGGATGGGCAAGGTTGTCTGAGGCAGGAGAATAACCAAATACTTTTGCAGTCTCGGAAGTATTCCAGTCCTCTATGAGGAAGCAGTGTCTGAAAGCTTTATTACCTGATTTATGTCCTCCGACGTCAAGACTTTGTATAACACTGCATGAATTAAGTATCGATATTCGTGTCACTGGGGGAAAACGGAATCCAGAAAATAGACTCACATTTAGATGGCCAACTGAACGACGGTAGGTATCAGGACAACAGTGACAAAAGCAGAGTATCACAGCACAGAGACCCCTTGGGATAAAGCAAATTTTTACCCTTACTTTATACTGCGTGTGAAGATTAATCACAAACAGATCTATAGTTCACAAAGCGAAAGACACAAGATCAGGAGATCTCAGATTTGCAGCTAACTGCTGCAGTCTAGAGTATGGGCTTTTGTCAGCTGTCTAGAGACTGCGGGAGAGGTTTTCAAGGACTTCGGATGGTAGTATACCCTAGGTGGTGTAGCCACTGGATAAGCCTAACACTGAAGATTTCATGGAGAACAATAAATGGATCTGATACAAAGGAACATGTCAGAACAGAAGTTAAACACTGAAAACATCCTTGGTGGTAAAAATTACATATGAGCAACTAATTAGCATCTTCCTGTGTACCAGGAAGACTATAGTTAAGTGGGAGAGAGACATTAGGGGTATGAAGACACACTAGTGTAAGTACTAAGGTGGGCGGAGCTATAGCCATACTGACACAAGGTATGAGTACGTGGAGGACTTGCTGGAGGAAGTACCATCTACACCAGACCTCAGAATTGGAAAAGCAGCAGGCATGCCTACTGAGAAGTAATATGCACACTGTGCACCAGGAAATGAAGATGGTCTTTTTGCTACAGCCATTAATCAATCCCACTGTGGTGGTTTGAATAAGTGATGCCCTCCAGAGGCACAAGCATTTGAACACTCAGCTCCCAGGTGGTGGTGGTGCTGTTTGTGGAGATTAAGAAGGTGTGGCCTTGCTGGAGGAAATATGTCCCTGGGGGTGGGTGCTGAGAGTATCTAGCCTTGCTCCATTTCCAGACTGCTCTCTGCTTTGTGCTTGAGGTAGAAGATAGGAGCTCTCAGCTTCCTGCGGCCATGCCTCTGTCCTGCCATGACAGACTCATCCCTCTGGAACCTTCAGTTGCCTTTGGTCATGTGTTTTATCACAGCAACAGAGAAGCAACTAATTAATACAGGCACACTGGGACTTCAGCCAGTGTAGCGATCTGGAGCGGGAAAGTGGCCTGTAAGGAGGTGACTGAGAACACCAGGTCCGAGCCCCCTCTCTGCCAGTTCATTACTTTGTCTCCCAAGCGAGCCATGCCAACTCCTGAAGAAAGTCAGGGAGCCCTGCTCCCCACCCCCCACCACAAGATGGTCTTTAGGGGGAAGGTTTATTGAGGTTATAGAGCACTCCTTTAGGAAATGCATGATGTCATCATCAGTGCCAACAGGATAGCCTTCCTGAGACTCTGCTCTCCCCCACTTGAGTGGAGCTGAGAACCCACAAAAGGGAACAGGATGGAAGCCAGGCTGAGATAGAAGACCTCGGCCGTCTTCCTGAAGATGGAAGCCAGGCTGAGATAGAAGACCTCGGCCGTCTTCCTGAAGATGGAAGCCAGGCTGAGATAGAAGACCTCGGCAGTCTTCCTGAAGATGGAAGCCAGGCTGAGATAGAAGACCTCGGCCGTCTTCCTGAAGATGGAAGCCAGGCTGAGATAGAAGACCTCGGCCGTCTTCCTGAAGATGGAAGCCAGGCTGAGATAGAAGACCTCGGCCGTCTTCCTGAAGATGGAAGCCAGGCTGAGATAGAAGACCTCGGCCGTCTTCCTGAAGATGGAAGCCAGGCTGAGATAGAAGACCTCGGCCGTCTTCCTGGCAATGGAGTGGCTACAACAGCAGTCGTGACTCTTGTGATGTTTCTGTTCCTGGGTGCATAATGTCAGCATCACCCCTGCAGCCCTGGAAGGGGAGTGGGGCAACGGAAGTCTCAGAGCGCTGGGGCGGTCATGAGACACCTGCCCCATGTGCAGTCCTCTGCCCAAATGACCAGACCTTCATGCACTAGGACACCCCAAACTAGGAAGGACAAACAGGAAGGAACCAGCCTCCAGCAAGCACCTATTGGAGGCTAGGCACTGAAGATGCTTCCTATCCACGGTGCAGAGGCCCAGTGGGACTCAGACCATGACCTCAGATAACAATGGCTATCCCACTCCAGTTCTGTGGCATAAACACACCTTAAAGGGTTATTCTGAGGATGAAATCAGGTAAGCTATGAGTACTACTTGACCTAGTCATTGGCGATGTATGCTTATTTATTTATTTTTTTTAAGTTTTTACGAGACAGGGTTTCTCTGTATTGTTTTGGAGGCTATCAGTCCAGCCCGGCCTCGAACTCACAGAGATCCGCCTGCCTCTGCCTCCAGAGTGTTGGGATTAAAGGCATGTGCCACCACCGCCCAGCTGATGTATGCTTATTAACACCATCTCTGTCATCAGTATCCTTTGACCATCCACATCACCCTCCAGAAACCTCTGATGAATTACCCAGAAGGCATAAGATTTAATGGGGGAAATGCAATTCTTTTCAGCTTATGGTGCCTTTGGTAGCTAGCCCTAACCTTACACTCACCCACTCAAACATCTTCCCAATTGGTAAACTGTATTCACTTCAAAGCGACGTGGCAGTAGTAACAGGTATGTGCTCCTGGGCCTGAGACTGTCTGGGAGCGTAAGCAGGCTCATCCTCTGGACCCCTAGCTCCTTCTCAAGCGAGCTGCTGAATGCCACCCACCGTTCCCGCCACCCCCCTCCTCCTCACGGGTAGCACACTCCATGCTGAGAGGGTGAAGGTGGACACGCTCGCTCACTGGCTGCCAAAAGCCAGACATGACACTTAGCTGTGCCTCCATCTCTTCCCCAAGTGTCAGGAGAGTGGTTTCTGGAAACTGGGGCGCAGCAGATATACAATGGCTCTGTGGGAAAATGCCATCATTCGCTCCCTTTCCATTAAACACTAGACAGGAAAATGTGCCCATTCTCCCGCTCCTGGCCTACATCCGCACCTCCTTCCTTTCCCTTCTCTCTCCACCTCTGAAAACGTCTACACAGGCAAGACCAGCACAGCCATCCGCCTCACCTCGTGCTCTGAGAGGTATTAGGCTGGGGCTCAGTCAGATACCTAAGAAAATACACACTCAGAGCCAACTTCTAACAACTAGAAGAGGTCCAAGCCTCCAGCACCATCTTTTCTTGTAGACTAGGTACACATCTCTTCCCCCAGAACCTGGGAGAACACTCAGGTTGCTGGGCAGGTGCCCCAGGTTTCAGCACCAGACTCCCCAGCACTCTCTGGTCAACGATGTTCTCTAACGTCGCAGAATGTCTCCAAGATTCCTAAACTCAGCTGGACTGTAACACTCGAGCCTAAGTGGGGACATCCGTGCAGCATGGCTTAGTGCGGATGCTAGAGCCTTGAGTGACAGTGTAAGCTGGAGAGGGCTCTGTGTCTTTGTGTGCATAAGGTGAGCATGTGCACAGATTCTTGTGATGGCCCAAGGATGACACTGCACGCTTCCCTGTCAACATCTTTAGCTATGTTGGATAGTCTGTTATGGCCATTGAGCTACGATTTGCTTGTCTCTGCCTCCCTGGAATGACAGGCACGTATCACCCCCCCCCCCCCCCAGCCCCAGCGTGCATGCACATGCGCTCACCCCCCCACACACACACCTGGGACTTAGGTTCTCAAGCTCACTTCCTAGGGTCTAGAGCTCATTTTCGTTTTGAAAGGTCCGAGGCATAAAACAAAGTATCCTGCACACTGCGCTGTCAGCATCCCTCTTGATGCCCACCTCCCTGAATCTAAAATTAACCTCAGTGGGGAGCTCGCCGCTCTGCCATTGGAGGGCAGCCCTGGCTAACAGTACAGAGGCCATAAGCTTAGCAGCAGGCCATTCCTGTCATCCTTCCTCCCCCCCTCAGGCGCCCCTACCACCTGCTTGCTTGGAAGCAGCCTAGGGAAGGGCTGGCGTGGCAGGGCACAGCCTGTTTCCTGTGGTCTTTGGTGGAGCCTGACATGGTGACATATACCCCAGTTCCGGGCAACATCCCGCTCCCTCTCAGTCCATTCTGCCGTCTTGTTTATTATCCAGGGTTCTGTCTCTGGGAACATTCCAACCAGGGATTATATAAAGCCTTTGGAGATGGGTAGTGGTGACCTGGTTTCTCCACAGGGGTGAAAGGTGACTCAGGAGGACTGCCAAGGGAGTTAGCAGGCCAAGGGAGTTCAGGAGACACCAGGGGCTGAAATCGGTCTACACTGCCACTCTTCAGGGGGAGACTGGAGTCGGTGGATAGACTGTAATCTCAGAAGTTAGGAAGGTGTCCAGGCAGCCACCCTCTCTGACTGTTCTGGAAGTGGCATTTTGAACACAAATGACACAATGGCCCTCTGTGCAGAACATATCCCATGCACTGTGGATGATGCCACAGGGACAAGCCGTTAGGACCCCAGGATTTTATCAGCTGCACCTTAGTACCTCATTCAAATGGAAGCAAACGGCCAAAACAAGAGGTGGTAGTCTCCAGGGACTCTAGTCCAACCACTGCAGCGTGCACAGGGCTCCTGGGTTCTCACTACAAGTTCTTTTCTATAACCCACTCGGTTTCAGAGCCTGGGTGGGAGCCAGTCTGCCAGCTCTGGGCTGGCCCTGCAGATGCCAAACAAGGAAGAGGAGATCTACAGGGCTGCCACACAGTGACCTGAAGTGCAATGGCTATAAAGGGTGATGACGGGGGGGGGGCCTCGGGGCACCTTTCTAGCAATCAAACCAACCTGTAATTACCAGGAGTGAGCGGTGCCAGGAGATGAGGTGGGTAGCTTGCCACTCACAGGGGCAGCTCAGGGGTGAAGCACGAAGCTATAAATAGCAAGGCAAGAGGAGGCTCTATAAACAGCCCGGCCACAGAAACCAGCCCCAGGGGAGGGAACAGGCAGGAAACATATGGAGCTCTCAGAAGCCACGCTGCCCAGCTCCTGACCATGGGAGAAGGTCTATGTGCACCCACACTGGGACACACAGCTGAGAACACCACCACGCATGCTACCCACTCTGCAGAATGGAAGCTGCTTGCTGCCTTTATACATCCACTGAGGCTCCATACCTAGGCCTGGGACAATGCTAGCAGGGCAGGTAATGGCAGCCTCATCATCCTGGCTCTGTAAGGCTTCTCCCTTGAGGAGGCAAGGCCCTGCCTCAAATCTCAAGGCAAGAAACAAAATGTAAAGGAAAATAAGGATGCAGTTGGAGTGGGCAAGAAGGAGCTGGCGGGAACAGTGGTGGACAGCTGGACAGATGTCCCTCCAATTGTGTCCGTTAGGAGATGGTGGATTTGGCACAATCCGTAACTATGGCAATGCTCCAATCTTTAGGGGCTCTGCAGTCCGCCCATCGGCCGTGCTACACTTGACCTTAAGACCAAGATTGGAGGTCAGATGGGAAGGAGACTACGAAGCCAGTGTCCCCATCCTCTCCTTGTTCTCGTCTGCATTTGCTGCTCCTGCCTGTATCTCCTTCCATGACCTTCACTGGCATCCTGGCTGGTGCCTGCCAGGGCCCTGGAGATCCTTCTTGGCCTGGGGCCCTCGTGAAGGCTGTGGCTAGATTTCTCACAGAATGTTAAAAGCTTTGAAAAAAAAAAGCCCTCTAAAATTATCCTACGGAGTTGGGGAATGTAGCTCAGTCTGAAGTCCTTATTTCAATCTCATTTCTGGCTACAAAGAAAGTTTGGAGCCAGCCTAGGTCACATGGAACTCCATCAAAAAAAATGAAAATAAAAAAATATAAAAGAAAAACGATAAAGAATCTATTCCTTTAACACATGAACACTTTTAAAACTCAATCCAGCACTTTAACATAAATAGGACAGTGGATATTCCACAGAGAGAACTACAGTTGGAGAGTTGAAGGGATGGAGATGTTCATTTGGCTGAGAAAATATTAAAAACAATCCTGTTGGCAAATCAGGAGAACCTGGCCTATGGTCAAGAGGCCAGGAATGAAAGACTTCCAGGAAAGGCACAGAAGACTTGTGAGTGCCGACCTACACATTCATGCTCCTTCTCAACCTAGGGGCCGGCTAATCAGAAGTATATACACAGAAGGTAATCAACACAGCTCCCAGTGGCTGCGAGTCGAGGAAGGGCCTTGACTCTTAGCCGGCTCTGATGAGATCACGCCTCCACCAAGATGGGTTATGCGACCTGATCTTAAGGACCTTGCCAGCCTGTGACCTGATTACAACCAGAGTCTGCAACTTTTCCTGAAATGCCATCTAAGAATGAATTCTAAGTATAGATGTCTCTGAAACAGAAAGCATCACTTAGAAGCCATATATCCCTGGCTAACCAGGGGAACTGCTAGTTGCAGAACTACTCCTGCTGCGAATCTGCTTAGCAGTGGTGTGGGCAGTATCACATTCCAAATGGCAGGAAATGGAGGTTAAGCAAGCAGGAGTCAGAGTTCCTCAGTCAGGGCAGGTAAGGGCAGCCCCATGCAGAGGGCCAGGTTATCTGAGAATGCTTGGTGGTGTCTCTTGGATCTTTTAAAATTCATACAAAGAAGAAAAGATGGTGTCAAATTTCCTAACGCTATCAGGAAGGCTATGGCTGGGATCTGAAATTCATATCAGTCCATCATGTAGTGCGGATCTAGGGATGGGTGCTTTCTTGTGGGAAATGTCTGTCTCCAAAGTGGGGGGGATTCTCTTTGCTCAGAAGGCCAGAGCACCAAACCAACAGGAAACCTAGTCACAGGCACAAGACAGGTAGGTGGGCACCAGTCCTTAGTAGTGTCCCAGGATGATCTGTCAAGTTCTGCACATGTGTGACACAGCAGTGCCTGACAACAAGACATGCAGATCCCAGTGCACCGCCTCTCTGCTCGGTGTGGCTCAGGTTGGATGTGGGATTTCGACAGAGGCACTGGCCTCAAGTTGTGAGGAGAGCAAAGATATCTTCATTTTAGGTCAGCTAGAAAGACGAGGAAAGGAAAGGAAGATGCCAGGTAGGGGACAAGAGTCCGACTGAAGCAAAGAAAAGAGTTGTCAACTAACAGGACACTGCTCAGTGAGCCCTACTTAGCTACATCAGCCTCGCACTAATCTCCATGGCCACCTAGCACACAGGGCAGAGATGGTGCAATGTGGTATCGCGGTGCTGTTTTAAGGCTAAGCCACATGTGGGCAGGCCAAACTTTCCAGAACGCACCCTAGTTTATTATAGAAGACCAGACGGATAATACCACGGACAATTCGGTACTGCTTAGCTCCGTCATGGGTAAGCTGGCCCAGGGAACCTCTCCTACAAAGTCGTACGAATGATTTCCGCAGGAGAAAGATCTCCAGCAGAAGGTCTTACGGGCTCTGCTTCTCATCTCCTCATTCCTGATGATACGTGAGAGCTCGCTCATCTTCTGTACTGACTCACACATATGCATGGCTGCCTGTGGACATGCATGTGCATGCTAACCACATGCTCAGTTTTGAAAGCGATGCTACTAGTGCAAGACTATGTCAGCATTAGTTCTTCCTATGGTCTGGGACGTAAATGAGAAGGTTAAGTTCACAAACTATGGTGCTGTATGCTATAGAAATATCTACTCACAACCTGCTTGTATCTCAGGGGGAGAATTCAAAAGCATCATGGCACTGGCAGCATCAATGTCGGGATCTGGAAAAATCAACCAATAAATAACATTATTTACAACGGGGCTGGTGTGTGTGTGTGTTTTTATCCCCCTGCAAGTTACAGCTTATGAATTCGACAGAGAAAAAAAAAAACATCCAGGAACTAGATGAGGGATCTCAGAGGTGACTTTCGTACCATTTGGACTTGAGAGAAAGAAAAGTTATTCTAGACTGAGATTCAAGGAGCACGCTAGCATTTTTAATCTGTGAGCATGGCTTCTTCTTGCTTTGTTAATGTTGGGATCTGCACTGTGGGTGTCCGATAAGCTTCTGGTTGAGAAGCCCCTTAGCTTTCACCCTGGGGTGGAGGAGCAGGAGAGCTGGTAACAATAGGAAGGTCAGCCTGGAATTCCTAACGGCTGGGAGTGGGGAAGTGTCACACTACAGCATCTTCAGGAAGAGGAAGCTCCGAAGACACCTGCATCCAGTCAGATACAAACAAGACACTTGGTCATTTCTATTTGTCAGCAGAATGGAAATCATATTTTGGGAGGCTAAGTGTGCACACAGTGGTGTTGGAGATGATGAAGGCATTTTTAAAAACTGCACATGAAACATAAAGAAAAGAATTAAGAAAGTTCTGATGTTGAAGGCACAGTGCTTAAGTTCTCATTTAATATTGCTTTTAATCTGCTCCCTCCCCAAATACTCATCACTTTATTGCTATAATTCTTAATAGGTTTCTGAATCCTTACCAATCCACTGGTTGACAGATGGCAGGTTATATAGAGACAGAGAAAAATATTATCCCTTTATAACTAAATTCATTTCCCTCTGAGAAACAGCAGCGCTGCTGCTATGGAAATGAAGGTCACCATGGCAACGGTAAACAACCCCCAAGAATGGTCACTGAATAGGCTGAAAAGAACATCTGCCCCAGCCCAGCGTCCCAGCTGCCCTGAGGCGAAATTCGCTAATAGTGCAGTGAGGTCTAGTGACAGAAGCTGCCGCCTGTCCCCTGTCCAAATAAATGAAGTGTGCAATTGAAGTCGACATCAAAATGCCTGCCCTTGCAGATTACTGCCTCCGTGTCCGCTAAGCCCAGTAACTAATGACTGGGGAGAGGGGGCCTCGTACTTGTCAGTTTTTGTATAAATTACATACCAAAAAATTCAATTTGCTACTAATGGCTCCATGGCATTTTATTTTGGGTATTATTCGAGAAAATTACTTTTTTACTGTTTAAAAAAAAGTACATTTTCCATACTTTATATGTGCAGTTTAATTCCAAGGGAGTAATGCAATGCATGATAAAGCCCCACAAGCGATTAATAATATGGATGATGCTGGTTTCAGAAGACAATGCCTCAAGAAAAAGAAAAAGAAAAGGTAAAGAAACGTCACTCTGCCCTTTTCTACTTGCCTGCAGGAGGCCTGTTACTTGCACGACATAATGGAGTAAAAGTTTATTTTAATAAGCACACGGTATGAGAAACACGTAAATTAGCTTCTTTGGCAACTCCTGGGGTGACATTGCTCAAACAGTCAATCCCTTCCCACTGACACATGCTCAGTGATTCGCAGAAAGGCTTCAAGGTTGGCTCTGCTCACTACTGCCCCAGCAGTGATGGCCTTGGGCACCCACGGGAGGCGAGGGACAGGCGCCGCGGTGGTCCCTCTTTGACAGAGCTCTTTGCTTCCAAGGGAGGAGCTCAGATGTGTGTTCTTTCTTTTCATCACACAAACCTTCACCGCCATCTTTGGGAAGATTCAAATGCAACAGGTGGCCTGGGTGGCCCTGGCTATGTGGGTCCCTATCTCCCCGATGAGGGTCCAGAGGTAAGAGGGAAGCTCACACGTAAAATCGGGAAATAAAAGAAAGTCCCACATTCTTCAGAACCACGCTGCTTCTCAGGAGAAAGGATGAGGGTCACAGATAAGCACAGCCTTAGTGAAAGAAAGACGAGACATGGAGAAAGAGTCTGAAAGGCAAAGAACAGCATCAACACTCAAGTGAAATCATGGGGGTCTAGCCAGCATCTTCTCATGATGCCTCACCCTACCCAAACCAAGGCAAATAGATGCACCTAAGTCGTCTAGTACAGGATGCTGGCACCCCTCCCCCACTTCCCACTGAGCAGGTGTACCACATCTAATGCCTCCACAGATGGAGTTGCTGATGCAATCAGAGAGCTCATGTTGCTCCTCCCTCCCCCAAGAATTCTGGGGGAAATTAACTGGTAGACTCCTCATGATCTAACAGACCACACATGCCTGTAGCCTGTCTTCTTTCTGAAAGGACCTGATGCTCCTAAGTCCTGAATGAAGACCAGGACGTAGGATTCTTGCCCCCAAGCCACTATCTAAAAACAGTAACTACACAATGGTATGCGACCATGTACACTGGAATCCATGGTGTTGGCCCTTCTCCAGGTGGCTACAGTGAGTGCCTCCTCCTAAAAGGATTAACTGTATGAAGAGATAGCTTGTATGCAATGAAATCATGGTGTGTTTACACATTTGTACCCAAATTACAATGACCTCAGTCAAGACGAACACAACAGGGAAAACCATTCCTGCCCCCCTTCCCCCAGAGTTTCAGGTATATAACCATGTGTTCCAAGAAACTGGGGATTTGCTTTCTGCAGTTCATCTGTGGTGTTTGGAGTTCATTCCTTATGGCTAGGTTACTGTTGAGTAGTATTCCACTGTGTGGATACAACGCCATTTGTTTATCCATTCTCTTGTAGAGTGACATGTGTCTTATTCCTAGTTTTGTGTACCATAAGAAAAGCTACTGTGAATGCTTACATCTAACTTCTGGGACATGTTTTGTTTTTCCTTGAGTAATTGTTGGTAGGAATGTTTAACATAGGGGACTCTATAGATATTGTACAAAGAATGAGTTCTAGTTGGTTCGTATTTTGTCAGCACTTAAAACTGTTAGCCATTTAGTGACTATGCAATGGTGTTTCAGTGTGGTTTTAAGTTTGTATTTTACTAATGACAAATTATGTTGTATTTCTCCATGTGTTAAAGGCTCTTTGTGTAACGTCTTTTGGGAAAACTTTAAGTCTTTTACCCACTTTTAAATTGGGTTGTGCAACTTATTCAGACACGTGGCACACATACATATGTATTCTTTGAAGTTCATAACTTACTCAGTTTTTCAATACTATATTTCAATAGAGTCTTTACTTTTTCTGAGACCCATTTTACTAATATGTTCTTATACAGCTCAAAGTTGAGATATTTTGCTAAATGGCATCTTTTTTTGTTTCCATTTATTAGTTCACCAAGTATAATATTATCTGGGTCCAATGCCCACACTCACGGGTAAATAAAAATGATAGCATCCAACTGCATCTCCTTCCTTGTCTAGTATACTCTGTCAGAGACTTCTGTCATTGCACAAATCAATAGTCTGAATACTATGCAGCCCCAGAGAAGCCTTTGCTGGATACGTGTCTATTGCAATGAATCCTGGGCTCTGCTACAATGCCTGTCACGGAATCCCTGTCCCAGTGTGACAGCCACAAGTCTTCAGGATCTCTCCAGGAAACGTTAGCTTTCATTCCTATCTAACAATGAATGGAAGGAACACTCAGGCAGTATAAAACACACAAACCAGGTGGTTATGACTGAGAAGTAAACGTCTTCCCCACAGACCTGTTCAAGACTCACACACATGTTAGCATCTGGAAACTGTCTATGCACAAACAAGTATTTATGTGTAGTCACAGGGACATGAACATGTATTTACACTCAAACACATGAATCTATTTTTCAAATATAGGTTTAGAGCTCTGGTTCCCAAACTGGGGGTCCCAACCCCTTTAGGGATCGAATGGCCCTTTCATTGAAGTCATCACAAACATCTGCATATCAGATGTTTACATTAAATTCATAACAGTATCAAAACTAACAGTTATGAAGAAGCGATGAAGTAATTTCATTGTTGTGTGTGTGGGGTCACCACAACATAAAGAGTCACAACATTAAGAAGGTTGAGAACCATTGGTTTAGAACATTTCCCCCTGAGCTGTGGCTTTGTGTGTGTGGTTTCAGCCTGAAAATATTAAGTTGACCCAAATAGATTATTTTAATATTTGTTATTGTGTCCATCCACTGACCTAATTTATAATATAAACTTTATCAAAGGCAGTAGGTTCCACTGTAAGCATTGGGTGTGTACACACACATATGCATGTGTGTATGAGTTGGAGATAGCTGTAGATTCAGGCACTCACTGAGGGTCTTAGAATGAATCTCCTGCTGTAAAGGGGCAACCAAAATACCTGCAAAAAAAGTTGGCTGCAGCTTAATTTCTTTTCACTTAATAATAGATCTCAGCAACCTTTTGTTAACATTGGTAGTTTTTGCAGTGACTGCTTTGTGCGGAGAAAACCACCTCATTGTACTGACACTCTTTTCTTCTTAGAAGATGGCTTTATAAGAAGAGAGATGGGGCATCTGAGATGATTATGGAATCTGCCCAGAGCTCGAGCTCCACCCCACGAATCCCAGGCCCCTGAACATGCTGCCTCTTACAGCCTGATTCCCACTGCCCTTACCCAGCATGGCTCCTTTTACCACTCTTGTGCCTTTAGTGACGGCCAGTTCCACTCCGCCCTTCCTCTACCAACCTCTGCCTCTCTGGGGATCAGCCTCACTGGTCCCCTTAGGTGACAGGCTGTCTTAATAATGCACTTAAGGCTTTCATAGATTTTCCCCTCTGGTTTGCATTCAATAAAATCAATCACCTGAAGCCCAGACACTTTTTGATGGAAACATCCATTTGGGGTGACTTGGAAACATTTTTGAGAACAGCGGAGCCATTAGGGAGTTTGAGGATTCTTGTGCTTCTGGGGAACACCTGATTCCACGAGAAGAGAGCTAAGGAAGGAGAGAAGCGGGTGGACTATGCAGTATTTTCCCTGGGTTGCTGAAGGTGAGGTGAGGGGCTTCCTTTTATCAGTCTAAGAAAAGGTGATGGTATTTTGTTCAGGACTCATGAAAACCTCACCAGAGGGAATAACATTC